AACTCTTGGTAAAGAAAATGGTAGAGTGAATCTTACTGCCTGCTCTCCTATGGGAGCCCCAAATCCCAAGCCACGGGACTCCTGGGAAAATGGGCAGAGGTGGCTTCTCACTAAGTAGCATTACTCAGACTCCATTCTCCCTTCCAAAACCTCCCCATTAATTCAGTTGAACACAATTTAATATAATTAATGTAGCAACTCGACTCTCTGGAGAGATGATGACCCACCACAACCACTGAAGACATAAGGCTCAAACTTTAGTATGAAAATTCCTTTGACTCTGTTCTCCAGTTCCTTGTAGATAGGAAAAGAATGAGGTAGATAGGAAAAGAATCCTCCAGAGGATTCCAAAGCACATGAGCCTGCCCATTCCTTGAGAAATACTCCAGTAGAAGCCTAAAGACTCGGGTGCCTGTTTGGTTCGGTCAGTAGAACATGCTACTCATGATCTTAGAGTCATGAGTTCAAGTCCCAACTTAGGGTAGACCTTACTTAAAAACAACAAAAAGCCTGAAGACTCAAAAATTTTAGGTTTTCTCTTATCTTTTTCGATTATATATAATTTCAAGAGGAAGCTATCAAAACATTTCCATGAAAGACCTGACAAACTTTTCTCAGCAGAGCCTCACTTCCTACCTCACTTCCTCACTTCCTTTGGGGTCTCTAAAAGGAAAATATTCCAATTGAGTTCATATAATAAAGCTTAATTAGTGACCTATGAATTGGTTAGAAATTGCATTCTGCTGCTAGTGACAGAATCTAAATGGCAGTGGCTTAAACAAATTTATTTTTTTACTCTATTGTGTGAAAAAATCAGTAATTGATCAAGGTTGGTATGGGGGCTGGATAAATTCATCAGAGATCTGTGCTCCTTTTATCTTTTTGCTCAGGGTACTAAGATGGCTGCTGGAAGTCAGCCATCATGTCTGTATTCCAGGCAGGAAGAGGAGGTGGGGTCGAGGAAAAGGGGGAGCCTTCTTCCCAGATGAGTCATTTCCTTATTAGAAATTTTCCTGGAGGGGTGCCTGGGTGGCTCAGTGAGTTGAGCCTCTAGTTCTTGATTCTGCCTCTGGTCGTGATCTTAGGATCATGCAATCCACCCTGTGTTCGGCTCTGTGCTGCGCATGGAGCCTGCTTGGGATTCTCTCCCTACCTTTCCTTTTGCCTCTCTTCTCTCTCTCACTAAAAAAAAAAAAAAAAATTTCCTGGATGCCCCAACCAGTAATTTCCTTTTATATATCACCCATCACCCCTAGACCTTAGATACAAGGGAGGCTGGATAAGTAGTCCCTTAGCACACACATTGCTGCCCTGGAGAATAGGATGATTTTATAACTAAGGAAGAGAGAAGAATGGAAGTTGAGTAAGGTGACTGGAAGTCTCTGCCACAATTGACTAAGTACCAGCTGGGCAAGGGGGGAGGAGACAGAGCTGCATAACCCTTAGTCTAGGAGGGAGGACACACAGAGCCCACAAACAAGTATAACTCAGAAGGAAACCACATGTGTGCCAAGAGAGCTGCCGAACAGGTGCCACAGGCTCTTAGGAGGAGAGGGCATTTGAGCTGCTTTGTGGTGCTTAGTGGAACTATAATGCACAGATAAAGGTGGCATGGAAAGTCACTGTGGGCAGACAACACGCTGGGGAACAGCTGAGTTCAGTCAGAAGAACCTGAACAGAAAAATCTTTCAGGGCTGGAAAGATGTTTAGCATCACTGAGTTCAAAGGTTCCTAACTGAGGTTGCATACGCAGCCTACTGCAGGGGCTTCAGGGGCCCCTGAATTGCCTGAAATTCTAGACAAAACTTTTATAGATGGGTATATTGTACTTCTCTTACGAAAGAAGTTTAGGATAATCCCCATAGTGTTCTTTCCAATTTTTCCCAAAAGAGCCCACCCCGTCCCCGACTTCTGTCCCCCTACATGCAACTTAGCCACCAACTCTAATTCTTCATTCCCCAACTCCCCAACCTCCATCTCTACCCTGCCTGGACTTGTGCTTTTCCTCCCTCTTGTAATTGCTTCTCGCTACTTCTCCTCTTCCCCTAGATATGGGAAGATGGGTAGTGATCTCCCCATTGCTGGAAGGACAAAAACATGGCCTGCACAAACACCTAGAAGGGAAATTATTATTTTTTTAGAAACTTTTTTTTTTAAGATTTTATTTATTTACTTGACAGACAGAGATCACAAGTAGGCAGAGAGGCAGGCAGAGAGAGAGAGGAGGAAGCAGGCTCCCTGCAGAACAGAGAGCCCGATGTGGGGCTCGATCCCAGGACCTGAGCCGAAGGCAGAGGCTTTCACCCACTGAGCCACCCAGGCGCCCCTAGAAGGGAAATTATTAAAGAAATTTGCCTTAGTTGCAGGCAACAGAAACCAACCTGGGATGGTAGGATTCCTTTCAGCATGATCATCCTTTGGCATCAGTATTCCTCCAGGAAGTCCTTCTTCCCTAACCCTACCCACCATGGTCTCTTATCTTCTTTTAATACTAATACTTTCCACAACTTAACATTAGCTTTATATCCTGTTTTGTATTGTTCCCTCTCTTTTTCTACGTATAGGTCTAACATTAGAAAACAATAAGCAGATTATAGCTAATTCAAGGACAAGAACTGAGTCTCCTCCCCTTGTTCTTTGACCATGCCGTGCCCGAAGGGTGACCAATCATCCCAGCGGTTTTAGGACTAAGGAGACATGGGACTTTCAGAGCTAGTTATGATCTTCCCACACGTTTTTGGCCATTTTGACTTTTTTTTTTTTCTTTTCTACCTAGTTAATTCACAGTCATTGTCTCTTTCTTCAGGTTTTCATATATTAACTCATGTATTCACTTGATAGTGAAAAACTAGTTTCAGTCTCATGAATGGATTTAGAAACATTTTTTTAAAAAAAGAACTTTCTTTTCACAATTGTGATTGTTGTATAATAGTCATAAGTATATACTCATTTTTTAATATCTGAAACCTCACCTGTACCGAGGTAATCACTATTAATATTTTTAAAAAAATAGGAATGGATTTGTTATTTCTTGTCTTTTTTTAAAACAAGATTTTATTTATTTATTTGACAGAGAGAGAGACAACAAGAGAGGGAACATAAGCAGGGGGAGTGGGAGAGTGGGAGAGGGAGAAGCAGGCTTCCCACTGAGCAGGGAGCCAGATGCAGGGCTCAATCCCAGGACCCTGGGATCATGACCGGAGCTGAAGGCAGATACTTAACAACTGAGCCACCCAGGCACCCCATGTTATTTCTTTAAACTGAAAAAATTCATCCTCATCAGTATATCTACTGGTTACATAACTTTCTGTTTTTATAGATATATCTTAATTTATTTAACCAAGCTCCTTTTTTTTTTTTTTTTTTGGATATTTAGGTTGTTTGGGTTTTTTTCTGTTTGTTGGTTTATTTAATTTGTTTTTAAATCCTGAGCACTGTTTCAATAAACATTGTAAATTTAAGGAGACACTCTTTTCTCATTACCTGTTTAACGCGTCCTATGGCAGTGGTTCTCGGACTTTAGCAGGGCTCAGAATCACCTGCCTGGCTTGTGAAACTGTAGATTCCTGAGCCTCATCCCCAGAGTCTAGGATCTGTAGGTCTGGGTGGAGCCTGATAATTTGTATTTCTAACAAAACTGTCTGATAGTTCAGATCCTGCTGATTTGGGGACCACACTTTGTAAACCACTGTCCTATATTATTCTTCCTTCCAAGAACCTCATATCATCTAGGTCCTTAGTTTCCTTCCGTAGAATCCGCTATACTTGGGGTGCCTGGGTGGCTCAGTGGGTTAAAGCCTCTGCCTTCGGCTCAGGTTATGATACCAGGGTCCTGGGATCGAGCTCCACGTCGAGCCCCACGTCGAGCCCCACATCAGGCTCTCTGCTCTGCAGGGAGCCTGCTTCCTCCTCTCTCTCTCTCTCTGCCTGCCTCTCTGCCTACTTGTGATTTCTCTCTCTCTGTCAAATAAATAAAGTCTTTTTAAAAAATTTTTAATAATAAAAAAAAGAATCCGCTACACTTGGTTTTATAATCTGTGGAGGGGGAAGTTCTTTTGTAGTGTCATACTCTTTCCTCATTCATGACTGTAAGTCCCTTTCACGTTTGCACACCTTCCCAAGTGTCTCTGGCCTGGTATCATTTGCTAATAGACACACGGAGACACATGCACACTGATTTTTCAATGTTAGGTGTGGTTTTGTGGCATTGCCACTCTCAGAAACCTCAGGTAGTGACAAAGTGGGGGTAAATAAAAGTTTTCTTCCTCAGGTAGTGGCATGTTCTGTCCCTTATACCCACTGCATCTGCCTGTCTGCTTCCCAAGGAGTTGTAATGGGTAACATTTATCCAAGGCAGAGTGTTACAGATGCTTGTGAGCTGGAAAGAACTATTGACTCAGAATTGAGGAGGTATTACGATTAAACTAAGTATCATAATGTATTTGTAGGGAAGTGGTTCAAAGCTTAGGTTCAACAAATTCCAGTTTTATTTGGAATATATTTGGGTTCTGGTACTCACCAGTTATGTGAGCTTAGGCAAATCACGTCTCTGAGCCTCATTTTCCTAACCTGTAATATATAAGGAATAATATCTTTGTTGCAAGGAGATGGAAAAAAATAAAGTAATATGTACAATGTAGCCGGCAGCTCTCAAGAAATGGTAGCTGTTGTGTTTTCTCTAAGTAATTGTCTTAAATTTTTTCCAGGTCTTTTCTCTGGCGGGGGCCCGGAAAAGCATCCGTTGCTCCTAGGGAACTCTTCTGCCCTGGCCCAAGGTCGTTATCATTTACAGAGATGCTGGTCACCTGCCTTGGGAGGCAGCACCGCGAACCCCGCGGGCTTCGCGGAGGCCCTGCTCTTCGGGTATTTACGGCGCGCGGCCGCCCCAGCTCAGGCTCAAGTCTGCGCTTCCAGGTTCAGTTTCAGGGTCTCTCCGGCAGCCCCGGCCCGCGGGCGCGCAGCGTTCAGCGGGGCTGGGACGGCTGGGTCCCCCGGGGGGAGGGGGGGGCGCCGGAGTTAGGAGGCGGCGCCCGGGAGTCCCCGGAGGAGGATGGGCTGCGGACCCAGCAGGCTGAGCTGCTGCAAAGCCCCCAAAAAGGTAATGGGCGCGGGCGGCGAAGTTTGCCTCGGGAGGGGAGGAGGGTGCGGAACCGCTCCGCCGCAGGGACTCTCGGCGCCGCCGGCCCCCTCCGGTCGTCCCGGGGTGCCGGGCGGAGGACTGCGAGAGGCCGGCGCGGAGGGAGCGGGGAAAGCTCCGCCGGGCGGCGCTCTTAGCGCCGGTGCGGGGCTGAGCCGCGCGGGGCAGCCGAGTTTACGAACACGGCCCCTGCGCCCGGGAAGCGCAGCTAATTCCGGCTGCCCGAGTGGGGAAATGTTTAGCTGTACGGCAGGTGCCCTTTTCCTTCCGTCTGGGGCTGCTCGCTGTGTGGCCACGGACAAGTGACTTGACCTCTCTGGGCCTTCCGCTTTTCCCACCGTTCTGAGGCACAGAGTCTCCGCGGCCGCTACTCGCAGAGTGGTCCACGGATTTACAGCAGCGGCACCACCCGGGACCTGTTTGAAATGCAGAATCTCAGGCTCTGCCCGGGACTTGCTAACCTAGAACCTGCCTTTTAACGAGATGTCCAGGTGATTACAACAGGCTTTAAACTTTGAGAAGCGCTGGTCTCAAACCTCTTCAGGCCCCAGAGCCGGTGCGTGTGGGCTGTCCTGGGAGTACTGGGAGGGGCCAAAGAGGGAGGAGATCTACCGCCTGCTGCTGCCCTTCCTTTCCTTCCTGTCCCTCCCCCGAGGGGCCTCGGAGCTGGGTTAGTGCCGGGGAGACTCTACTCGGGTTTCTGACAGTAGGACCAGGTGCCCCTTGGGTTCTGACCAGCACAGAAGGTCGGAGCCTGGAGCCAGAGGACAACTTCCTCGGGGGGACGCCCGAGGCGCAGAGGGGGAAGGGAGGACCCTCAAGTTCTAAGCCTTCTGTTACTACTCCTTGCTTTTCAGCCAAGTGGGAGTCGGTGGTCCCATAAACTTGAGGAGCAGTCCCTCCGGAGACCCGGAGAGGCCCCACACTGCAACCAAAAGTAGTTATTTTTCATAAAACTTTAATTCCTCTCTCTCTCTCTCTCTCTCTCTCTCTCTCTCTCCTGCTTTACTGGGGCCAATGCAAGCTTTCCCTGCCCTGTGCTAGTTCAGGGAGAAGAGTTTTCACCCCAAGTACAATGCCTCTGGCTCCTCCTTTATTCCTAAAAACTTCACGAAGCTCTGACGGGGAAACCCTCCTGCTGGTCTTCCCTTACTCCAACAGGGAAACTGAGGCTTGCCTGCAGCCGTGGAAGCAGAGGGCTGGCTGATAGGGATGGTGGGCAGAGAAAGCTGAGCCTGCCTTGAGACCTGGAATGGAGCCAGCGATGGGTGGACATCAGTCCTGGCTCTACCATAAACATGTTAGTGACTTTGAGCAAGCCTGTACCACTCTTAGGGCCTCAGTTTCTCCCTCTACATGGAGAGGGAGGGAGATGAGCAGGATGATTCCCAAGGGTCTGAGAGTCTGTGTTCTCTGTATCTGTGTCAACATCTCTGTCTGCAAAGTGGGCCAAGAGTGAATTCCATCTAGGCAGGGGTGGAAGGAGACTGGAAGAGGGGCTCCATTCCAGGCCTGACACTTCCATAGTGAGCATGGGTTCCCCTGCCTCCTTGCCCTTCCAAGAGCCTTACCAGCTGTCCCTGTCTGTCCTTGGCACAGCCTGAACTGGACAACCCCCCACCCCTGCCCAAGCTGTGAAGGGCAAGTAAAGCCTCCACAGATTATCCCCTTGGAAAAGGGCCCCAGGTACCACCTGTGCTGATGCACAGATAAGAGGATAGGCCTGGAGAAGGGAAGGGTCTTGACTGAAGTCACAGAGTAACTTAGAGTAGAACCCAGGTGTCCGGCTCCCTAGTCCAGTGCTCTTCGTCTGTATCCCCACTCTGTGCTTATGGTGGCTTCTTATTGATTCCAAAGCCTTTTGGCATTAAAGCTTTCAGTCCATTGCCTCAGGGCAGTCTGGCATATCTTCCTGGCCCCAGCAATGCCAGGCCCCTGCCCCTGTGGGGCAGGACCTAAGCCAGTTCATTTGAAGTTCACGCCTGTTTCCATCCCTCCAGGCTGTGCCCCTGCCCAGTTTCTCATCCAAACCCCACAAGACGGGAGCTCACAAGGCCATCCCCACCAGCTGTCAGTCCCCTCGGGGATACAGGGCCCCAAGGATGGGATGTACAAAAATGAGCTCACACTGCAGAAGGGTTAGGTCATGGCAACCATGACTCACGCTGAGTGGACTTTGCAGAGAGCTTTCACATCCCACGGACCTTACAAAAGCCCCGGAAGTTCGGCTGAGCTGCCGGCTCTTTGCCATACCACAGGTGAAGTCCCGGAGCTTCAGGCAGGAGTGATGCATCCAGCGTCGCAGGGTCCATTGATGACAAAGCTGTTCAACTGAGCCCGGTCTTCTGCACCTCCCTCTGGTGCTCATCGCCTCCTTTAGGTGCTGCCCAACTATTTGAGTGAGCAAGTGAGGGCCAACCAGCCAGGCTAGGGGCCAGGCCGGCGTGCAACCGTGGTATCTCACCCAGCCTCAGGAGATACAGGAAGACTCCTTGGATGGGGGAAGAAGAGGTGTGGGGATGCCTTGACTGAGCGTTGAAGGTTTGGGAGGAGTTCGATTGAGGCAGAGAGAAGAGCCTGAGCCGGGGCTGAGCCAGAGGAAAGTAGAGGGGGTCAGCAGCAAAGAAGGAACCCAGCGTGCTCAGTGGGGACTACCCCAGCTGGGGACAGAGGCCTGACCACTAGGACCTCTCAGTCCTTCCAAGTTCAAGGATTAGAGAGTCTGCTGAGTCCTGCAGTCTACTGTGCCTGGTGGGCTTAGCCAAGAGACCCAACCTGAGGCTAAGTCAGGGCCTTACTGGGATGAGCTGAAACCCTGATGAGTGCTTAAGTGGGAATCCCTGGCAGGTGGGCGCTGAGGAGTCATTGGCACTGTCAGGTCCTTCCTAAACCCGTCTTGACTGAGACCCTGGGTGATGTGGTCATGTCCCCAGGAAGACTTGAGGGGGAGGGGCCAAGAAAGAAATTTGCTGTGGACTTGGTTATAGGAATGACATGGGAGTCCAGAGGGGCCTTCCATCCCCAGTAGCTTACAGGGCGCCCTCGGCCGGACGGGGAGGGTCACCTAGTACCTCATGGTCAACCCCCTTTGTGTGTACCTGGTGTGGTGTCGGAACTCCGCAGCCCCCAGGACTTTGGCTCTGGCTGCAGCACCACAGCCCAGAGCAGAGAGTGAGAGAACCCGCTCAGCGCAGCTCCCACAGCTCCCACAGCTGGGCCTCAGGCAACGGGTTCTCAGCGGGTCGGTCTTTCAGGAGCCTTTCAGGAGCACTTCTGGGTAGCAGGCCAGCGAGCGAGGTAGGGATGCAGAAGAGAATGACCTGGAAGAGGCCCACAGGGGCACACGGAATTCCGAAACAAACCACGGACACTGAAGGGGTAGGCTCTAGAGCCAGGGTCCTGCGTTCGTTTTCTCCCTGTGCACAGCGGGCTGGGTGTTAAGTGCTGCTTTGGTCTTAGCTCAGTCACACTCCGTTAAGTGGCTGTGGGCGGGACTTGGCTTCTCCATGCTTCAGTTTCCTCATCTGTGAGAGAGGTGTGAGATTAGCTCCTGGGTCATAGGGTTGTTCTAAAGATTAGTTGAAAGAAGGCACACAGCAGAGCCCCTGGTACACTGACTGGCAAGTGGTGTGCCCTTGATAGGAGGTCATGTGGGTGAGGCCAAAGGGAGACGTAATCATACTTCACGGACATCACTGCTTGGATCGTGCCCAGCAAAAGCAAACAGGGATGTGGGAGACAGGGGGATATTAATGTCCTTGGGGTTGGGGACATGAAGCCTGGAGCTTGGCTGTTGCCTTCGAACCTCTGAAGGGTTGCCAAGGGGACGTGAGGAGCAACCTTGTTCTCTGTTGTTCCAGAAGGCAGAATTGTGGCTGGTGAAGCTAAAGGAAGCCAAATTCTACTTCTCGTGAGGAAGAAAGATAGCAAGATTCCCATCTCCAGAGGAGTTCAAGGAGAAGTCGGGTGACATTTTGGCAAGACTAGAAGAGGGGATGTGAGCCCAGGACTAGTAAATATTTAGGATTCGACTTAAGAAATCTAATTCTGGGGTGCCTGGGTGCTCAGTGAGTTAAGTGTCTGCCTTCGGCTCAGGTCATGATCCTGGGTCTTGGGATTGAGTCCAACATTGGGCTCCTTGCTCTGCAGGGAGCCTGCTTCTGCCTCTGCCTCTACCTGCTATATTCTGCCTGCTTGTACTCTCTCTCTCTCTCTCTATCAAATAAATGATAAAATTTTTTTTTTAAAAAAAGGGAAAATCTAATTCTGATTATTATAATATTTAAGGCAAAATTTCAGAGCTTGGGAAAATACAAAGAAGTTTGAAAAGCACCATTAAGATATAGCCTCTATGTACATTTCAGTGTCTCATATATCTATATCTATATCTAATCTATATATATACATACATATATGTATATATATAATATACATAAGGGTGACTTTTTATGTGATTGGGACTATATTTTAAAGAGGTTATATTCTAGTTAATATTTTGCTGGAGGCCTTCTTCTTACATAGTCCATGGAAACACGACGTTCAATGTCCACCTAATATTCTGTGCCTGCTCCATGGCTTGTGTAACTGGTTTGGACCCTTGGTTGTTTGCATTCCCCACTCCTACCCTTATTCTTCATAAGCATCCTCGGGTTTTCATCCTAATGGGTCGGGGAGGGGTGGCTCTGAGCTCAGAGGGGAGCGGAGGGGCTGAGGGAAGACCTCCTGGGAGAGCTGGCCTCTTGGCTGGGCTTTGAGGGTTGGCGGGGTAGGGCTAGACAGTTGTGGGGGGGTGAGTGGGATAGAGGCAAGTCTGGGCTCCTGACACCTGGGCAATAGAACAGGGTAAATCTGACCTTTTAGCTTGGTTTGCCAAGGGTTGGGCAGTTGAAGAACTTGAGAGGAAGCTGACTTTCCTGGGCCCTGAGCCCTGTCCCCCAAGCATTGTGGAGACAATGGTGTGT